ATCGTCAAAATTTTCACTAAATCGCCCGGGGACGGAACGTGAATTGCTTTTACGAGACCCTTCAACGTCTAACCGATAAGCGAAAATATCTAAAATGTCTAAAATGAAAATATTGCCGGTATTAGTTGGGAAGAATTTCCCGCAGAGGTTGTAAATAGCATTATTTAATTTTTATTGATTAAATGTAATATTTTTCTTACGCTTCAACTGCTCGTTCCTTATTCTAGGTGGTAGGCATATCTATTGCACTTTACAAAATTTATCTAACGCCTATTCAATATTTTGTTTACCTGTTGCTTAATGCATTATTTACGCTTTCGCACAGGGCTATTACTTTTATGTAAAACGTGCCCACCCTCCTTTTACCTATTTGCTTAAACTCTCCAGTCTTAAAGTCAATTATAAATTATTTAACTTTCGTAAGACTTGTAGGGGATCAAATATAAAAACTCATAACGCACAGACAAATTTTTCCAATTACAAAAATATTTAATAACATTTAAAACATCTTAATTATACAGGACGTGGACGGCTAAATTTTTTAAAAATAATGTTGTTTTCTTTAAATCCTGCCAAGCAATTTTTTGTTAAATCTGTATCTGCGTGTTTTACATTAAAACAATGAGAGTTTGATGTCATTACGTGTTTTCTTTAATAATAACAACAATCGTCAAAAGAAATTATGGTTGTTTACGTCAGTGTAAACGTTTTTATGTTTTGTTTATACTTTTATGTTCTGATTATTTATTGAAGTTTGATACATATTTTCTCCTTTTTTGATGGGCCACCTTCTATAAATAAAGTCAGTGCTAGAAAAAATTCTTAAATCCAAGCTCGGACAGGTGTGAGAAAAGACATTACTTTTTGGTCAGTAGCCCTCAAGCCAGTATGAACGAACCATTGCTCTCGTCAGTTGCTCACAAACCACCAATGCTCACGAATGTACCTTTGCTCTCGTCAGTTGCTCACAACCCGACAATGCACACGAATGTACCTTTGCTCTCGTCAGTTGCTCACAAACCGACAATGTATCTTTGCTCTCATCAGTAGCTTGCTCTCGCCTCTCCATTTGGCTTTCCAGTCGCCTTCTCACCTGCTCTCAAATCGCAAATACGCACGAACATATCTTTGGCTCTCTCTCCTTTCCACTCATCATCAATGATATTCAACAAATACATTGGTAAAAGCGAACGCACCATTTCATAGGGCATCGCTGCACTCCGTTTATCCAAATTATTTTGCCTTTTGCTGTATGTACTCGTTAACTATTCTTTAACTACTTACATGTTTCAAATCTCTGGAAATTCAGTTTCAGTTCTTTTTTGTTCATATAATACACTTATACTTACTAGAGAAATAGATTATTTTTTAACATAATCAAACCTTTACTTAACAACCGGCGCTTATCCCCGGTAGCGCCTGGTCTTGGAAGGTAGATACATAATACATTCTCCCTCCACCGTCTACAATGGCTCCTGTGAAGAGTGTTTTCAATCCACAATAAATAAATACATATTACACANCCATTTTGTTTGTAATTTTGACAAAAATGATGAAACCCCCAGCTTTGGAAAACAGGAATCCTTTCTGCTCGGTTCCACGAGTTTTTTTATTATTATATTTTTTACGTGGATTGCCCACGGAAGAAATATCCATCCCCCAGGGGTGCCGGTCTTTTTGAAAAAATCCCATTTTTATGTTGGATTCGAATTCACGGCCGTTGGGTTCGAACCCGGGTCCCTTACAGTGTGTAACGCCTCAACGTTGCGGCACCGACGCCACCAACGTGAAATTGTTATTTGTACAAAATAGAAAAGAAAGAACAGCGGGATGTATGAGATGTATTCCCGGAAAGTGTAGAAAGGGAAGAAATATTGATGTTAACATGAACAATGATGCCCCGCGGCACATGTTCCGCCACCATCCCGGGCCATTTTCATAGAAGTCTCCCCGGCCGACGGGATAAAGGGAGCTCGTCTGATAACGGACGGTTCACGCCTGGATCTTTTCCCCGCTTCTTTGTCGGGCCGGTTTCCAACAAAAGTCCGTCCTCCCATTGTGGATGAGGAATGCTTAGCATTGTGAACACTAACCGGCCCGGGTATTAATCATGCGGTTGTTAATTACACGAGACGGGCCTTTGTCGAGATATGTGATGACCGACAGGGAAAAAGCAATCCCAGCCCAGGAATTATTCACCCGTGCGGACATTGCAAAACGTAAAACAGCCTGATGGTCTTTCTTTCTCTTTACAACGTTCGTGCGGCCGGGACGATAGTCTGCTGATTGCCGGACATATCGCACGAGCTGACCCTTTCACCCTCAGGGGTCGTTGACAACACGTAATTAGAAACTGGTACACTAAGTAGTATTGCCTTTTACCTTATCACATGTCCTTTTAAATATTTGCATATCGTTGTTTCTTAACGGCAGGGCTATCGTTCTACCTCTATTGTGTAATCGTGCACTTTCAGCAGTTCTTTTAATCGAGAATTTCAAGCCGAGTCAGATGAACGTTCGTTAAGCGCTGCAAATCCAATGTGGACTTTTCTAGCCGATGGTCATTGCTCCGGTTGAGCAATCTTCGGCCAGGCAGGCACGTTCCATCTCTCAAAGCTTTTAACGATAACGATACTCTTCTTTTCGTATATTTCGTCCTATAACATTTTTTCCATCCACCAACCACCCTTAGGGAAACCCTACAGGCGGACTACGCCAAACTAAAACTGGGTGTGATACTTGGGGAAATGTTAGAGCTTATAGTCCTCCTCGGGCAATGCCTTCGAGTTATATAATATAATAACATATCGTTTATTCGCATCAAAAATAGCAATCGTAACTAATAGAATTGTCATTCCTGAATTCATTATGGAAATATTATAGTTATTTATAATAGATACATTTATAAAAATATATAGAAGCCACTTGTAACCGTTATCATCTTTTAGATAAAAACTATAATTTAAGATTTCTGTTTTATCTATAATACATTATAGATTATATGTGCGAGAATTATTATGCTGAATAAGTCTTCTGGAAACCATTACTTGCCTATATCCAATACTTTAAGAAAATTAATTTTTTATGTGTGGTGATTAGTGACCGTTAGTCGATGATTATTCGAAAATCGTGAGATGCGGTCTGGTGTGATGTAGGTTTCAGAAAAACATTTTCTTTATCGTGCCAATATTTCGATCTTTATTGAGATCATCTCAGCGCCTGTGATTTACAACATTGTTTACATTTAACAAATGCATGTAGGATGTGGAAAAAAGTGAATTTATACAAAGCAAAAAAATATTTTTTATATTCAATCAAAGTATTTCTACTCACTCAAAGTGTTTGTTTTCTGCGTAAGTGTGCCATTCTTGCGTGTCGTGTCTCACGACTCTCTCAACACGAAACGCAAGAATGGCACACTTACGCAGAAAACAAGCACTTTGAATAGAGATACTTTGATTGAATATAAAAATTTTTTTTTGCATTGTATAAATTCACTTTTTTCCACATCCCACATGTATTTGTTAAATTTAAACAATGTTTGTAAATCCCAGGCCCTGAAGATGATCTAAATAATGATCACGATAAAGAAAATGTTTTTCTGAAACCTACATCACACCAGACCGCATCTCACGATTTCTGAATAATCATTAATTTTTTAGTGATTCCTATTTAATTAAGCAGTTGTTTTGCTTCATGGTATGAATTAACTTTTTATTCATACCCATACTCACGTAGAAAAACACATTTGCTCTCTCATTCATTGCTTAAATCAACCAACACTCACTCACTCACACACACACTTTCTCTCTCTCTCTCTCTCTCTCATTTTCTGGAGTTACCACTGGAAATTTAAAAAAGATATCGACAACTTGTGTATTTCAAAAAAATACTCTGTTCATAATAATGTTAATACACATAAATCATAACTTCCGTTTTATTTGCTGAACCTGCAATTGCATAGAAATTGTTTTCTCTTGCAGTAGGGTTTTCCATAAATTTAACTTTTCCAGGGGTGAAATTTCCTCATGCATTTGATATGTAAATTTATTCTGTTTCACCGCAAACATATTTTCCCATAAATAACGGCGTATGTAAAAGCAAAAAATAAATCCGTTGGTGGTTTTAGGGGTGATAGTAGCCCACACATTTCCCATGTGCGTTATGACGTGCATAGTTTTATTCGCAGTTTTATCTAAGCGAGGTTCATCGACCGTTAGGCACAAGTTGACGGCATTTTCTGTCTCAAGTCCGGATTAAGTTGAGCAGGGATAACATCATCATTATTTCCCCCTGTAGCTACAGAATAAATTCACGGTGACAGGTTTTTGAAATTCTATTTTGAAATATTTTGTTTACCTGTCAAATGTATTTTCAAGTGAATATTTTATTTTTTAAAATGCCAAACGTGGGAGATAGAAAATTATTCTGACTTCTCCTGAGTAATGAAAATGGCTAGTTGGAAATTGTACTTCTAAGAAGTTTCGATGTTCGTTTTTGCCTAGATGCATTATTATTTCAGTGCAATCAGTCCTTCCTCCGTCTGAGGATGTCGTTGATGGGTCCAATTTTGATGAGGTAGAAAAAGCAGAATAAATTTATTGTTCAAAATAAGTTAGATGAAATTGTACACTTTTGACGTGATAACCACGACGACCATATAAGGGAGACTTAAGAATGATTGTAAATTCATGCAGATGATTCAATTAGGTTGGAACATTTTATAAAATTTCTTTGCCATCTAAGATGTAACTGACTGTAAACCATCTTCCTTTTATTAAAACAACTTTATTTTATAAACGTTTTAACATATAAAAAAATTTGTGTCACTTTATATATTTAAAAGTTGAAAATTATTATTAATTGGTAGGAAAGAACACAACTCAGGTAATGGGCTGTCTCATCGGTGAAATTTTATGTTTGTTATATTTTCATTTTATTGTTATATTTTTGCTGATTTTTTTATTTTTTATTAATGTGAATTGTGTTTTATTTTCCAGGTTCTTAGTCGTCCTGGATGAGTGCGATCTGTGTTGAGATATTTCGCAGGAAATATTGGAAATAAGAAAATTCGGATGTCAAAGGTAAGAAATTTGTACTTTTCAGTACCTCCATATTTATGAATTTTGTCTGTCCTTAGTCGATTAACCTTATTAAAGGGCATTTAGGTCATTTCGGTAAAAAAGTACTCGTGTAAATTTTTGTAATCGCTCATCTATCATTGAGATTGAGATTGCGATATGAAATATACTTATAATAATCTCTTTTATCTGACCTGCGTACACGCAAAAGCTTTGCTATTCAGCCTTGGTGTTCCAGATCGGTGGTAGATCACCGAGGATAACGTAAAGCGTCGAGAAGGGGCCAGGGCCCAGGATACGAAGCCGAACAGGTGTCTGTCACGATTCCTGCCAGAGGGTGCAGCCGGGAGACCTTTACGTGCTCTCCACCTGTTTATGCACTCGGGTCGGAAAAAGCGGAGGAAATTCCTGACCCAGATAACGATTTCTAAAACGGGGTTTCGGGGCTGGACGTTAGTCGGTGTCAATGGATTTCCTTTCTGTCCATCTATAAGAGAACTCATGATTACAGGCCATTGCACATTTCGGTCAGCTTAATTTTATTTGTTACGAATTACGCCATTACGGCGTGGACATCATTCTGACGAATTCGGTCTGTCGAAACTGAAATTTTGAAAATATAATGGGAAAAGGGGAAAGTCGAGTTCCGAATTCACCTTAGGAAACGTCACATTCTCACCTTGCCAATAGATGGCACATTGATCAATCCTCATTATGTTATCAGTTAGGAAAACTAAAGCTTCAGACGATCGGAATTAACCAATTCGAAACAAGTGGGGTTGCATATCAATCAAGGGTATCACTCACCTATTAACATTCTCTCTAGCAGTCATTCTCCCCATTGTACTCACTAATTTTCCCACCTAGCCAATGGAAGAAAATCTTTTCCCTGACGACAAAAAACACTAGAATTTGTCCTACCTCTTAAGTCTGAAGAGAGAACGGCTTGATACGAATCGATGCGTGATATTAGGCTCCAGGTTAAAATATGGACAATCTTCCGACAAGATCGAGAGACTTATTTATCAGACACGTTAGATTGTATAAACTCCTTTTAACTTTAAAATCACGACCCTACTACTTATTCACTTACTAACTCACTCACCATTCGTTAACTTACTCATTCATACACTCACGCATTCATTCTCCGAACAACACACACTACACATCTTCCACTCACTCAATCACTGACCCCTCAATCTCCCACTCACCCACTCATTGACACTCTCACACACACTCCCACCTAACCACTTAATATCTTACTCTTAGACTCACTTTCTCTACTAACTTCCACCCACTCATTCACTGACTAGCTGATTCGCACACTCACACTATCACGTATCAAATTATTCTCTCAGTCGCTCACACAGTGACTTCTACCTACTTGTTGAACCAATCACTCACTCTCTATCCATCTGTGTCTGTCTGTCTTTGTGTGTGTGTGTGTGTGTGTTTGTGTGCGCGCGCGTGTGTGTGTGTGTGTGTGTTTATATATCTTTCTCTTTCGGTCTAATATCTATGCATCTGTCTTTTTGTCACTTCATTGTTAGTCCACTTTGTTATTGCCTCATTATCTCTCTCTCTCTCTCTCTCTCTCTCTAAAATTCTCTTTTCTCTCTCTCTCTCTCTCTAAAATTCTCTTCTCTCTCTCTCTCTCTCTCTCTCTCTCTCTGTCTAATAGGACATGCACCTTTGCGAAATAAAATAAAACATGTGCTTATCTTTCTCACATTCACGCTCTCGTCCTCCCTATTTCTCTCCCATTTTCTTTCTCTCTATCTCTTGCTCTATCTTCGTCTCAATCTCCCTCCCTCTCGCTCTCTTCAGCTCATCTCTGAGGCGAATTAGTCAATTCGCCACGAGTCGATGGTTGAGTACTCCTCTAAAGGTATTTGCCAATAATCCCGTGTCGTTTCCGCATCGCCGGGTCAGCCGAACGAATGTTAACAAGCCGGGATTTCTTCCTCGCCTAACGCGGCTCATTAGTTCCATGAGTTAAAACTACAATGTGAGATTTCTGCCAATTAACGGCCTCGTTTATTATGATTTAGTATATTAATTATCTTACATTCCATAGCGTTTTCACATGTACTCTTAATAGTGCTTACTCTTAAAACGACGCAGGATTTCATAAAAAAATAAGGAACACGTTCACGCAATGTCTAACCACGGATATATTCCGTCATTTTGTGCTTGGAAAATTAGTCAATACACTTTCTACCGTGGTCATGAATAGTTTTATTTATTATAATTTAATATAAAATCATTGGCATAATTAAGTTTTTAATAAATGGTTTTTAAATTGTTTTGAAGACCGAACCAGACCCAACATTACCTGGGTCGCTGAAGGCATTAATTATGTCAATTTGTAGACATATTTAAGACCGTTTTGCTGTGACATTAGAATAGTTTGAAATCTCGGAAGTAACAATTGAATTTATTGTTTTCGTCTAAACCATACCGAGATCCAGATTATTCGTGAGTGAAAAAAGTTGTTGTTACATTTAACATTTTAAATAGATTCCATGTTTATATTGTTTAGTGAGGTTTTGTTTGTGGTGAGGTGATGAATCCGTAGTTGGATCATTGCGATCATTTTAGTCAGATGCGTTTCGATGGATCACTGAGGCAGACCAAAATGGTCGGAAAGGCATTCATTTTTCTCTTGTGAACATGTAATATACTTTTTTTTCCCCCAATGGCAGTATTGATTATATTAGCAGTAACGATTTGAATTTGCCAGTTTTCTATGTCATTAATATCTTGAACAATGTGGGGAAGGGTTATAGGCCGACGTTCCGATTCCAGCACAGTTGGCAAACCCTAAATGGTGAACTGTCTTGTTTACACACTAAACATCAAAACAAATTTGGCCAATGTCAATAAATATCTGTTGCATCCTTTGCCACACACTTTTTTAAAAATTGAACTCTTCTTAAAAAATAAACACTGGAAATCAACGACGAATATTTCACAAATATTAGGCTTAGTGTTGGCAAATTTATGATGCAAATATGTTTTTTGTAGGTTTTACTTGGATGTTTTGCTAATCATTGCATTATGATCCTTCTGGGTCCTCGTCTTGTTTTGTGCTAGAAAGATTAAAGCTTTGTGCAGCGACAGAGTTTGATTGTAAATTCAAATAAAAATTTGTCTTGTATTTGAATACTGACTATCAATTGGCAAGGTCAATTTTATTGCGACTCTAGGTTGAAATGTTTTTTTTACTTTTTAACGACTAAATAGTTTTATAAATCTAGTGTTTTAATTTAAACATGAGTTGAAGGTTGGATGCGGATTGTTTTATGTAATTTAAACGTTAAATCGGGTGCGACCGTTTGACAGGGAAACTTTCTGAATAATTCATAGGAGCAAGGTTGATAGGGCGGCTCTGAGCTGTTATAGTTCGCAGCAGGGGTGGCCCCAGGGTGATATACGTGTAGCCTAAAGCCCTAATTTTTCATTCAGACGTGTTAATCCGAAGGCCGAGACTGATTGCCTGCGATAAACAGTCACCGGGGCGACTATTTGTACCAGGAGGTGATTCGCAAAATCAAGGGTGGATTTTCTTTGAGGGTAAAATTCGCCCTGGGAAAAAACTGAGTGACGATTCTTCTCCGACCTTGGCAGAATTCAACACGTTGAATTCTGGAATTGTTCAGTGTTGTTAAGACGGAATCATATTTTGGAAATGAACCCTTTTATATCGGAACCATAGATCATTTATTTTATATCTGCAGATCTGTCATACATGAAAATCATTGCACCTATTGTTAAACATAATTTATCTCACATGTTGGCGCACTTTTTGGCCGATGTTGACAAATGTTTCATCTGAATTGTTCAATGTTTTTATTTAGTAAAGTCATGACGGGTTGCAGATTCGCGTTTATTAACGCTTTCTGACCCAATGCTGCATCAGAGTATCACTTATATTAACAATTGTGTTAAAGCTTAGCCGGAAATTCAACGAGTTTATGACGGAAGCAATGTTGTTTCTATAATGTTTCTCCCTGTGTATTGGCATCATTGATTTTTTTGCACTTTTGAAGTTAACAAATATAAAGGTGGACAGACTCTCGGCTCAATACATTGTATTGAGTGTGTGTATTGTATTGGAGTGTATCCTCCAATACACACTAGGGGCTATGAGAACAACCCCTACAAATGCATTAGAAACTTTGCCAAACCTACCTCCACTGGAAATATTTATACAAGTAGTGGGTAGGAAAAGCTCACATAGGCCCCAGAAACAATTAAATTGGATAGGAAATAATAAATTCGGGCATACAACCATAATCAACAAAATGAGACACTCGTTATTAGACATGGGGTCTGACTATATGATCCTAAAAACTTTCTTTACAACTTCCTATAAAGTCTCAAAGGACTATAAAGGAGAGGAAGAACACAGGAGAGCATCAGATACAATGATATGGTATACAGATGGCTCCAAAACAAACAAAAGGGCCGGATCGGGTGTTTTCTGTACAAGCCCAAAACATGAGCAATCAAACTCATTAGGGAAGAATACTTCTGTCTTTCAAGCAGAAATACATGCCATCAATGCTTATGCCTTGGAAAATCTTAAAAGAGGTTGCACTGGCAAAAAATCCTCATAAGATCTGATAGTCAAGCAACAATTAATTAGCTTGTAATAGAATCATATCAAAATTAGTCAGTGAATGCATCCAAAATCTCCAAAACCTGGAGAAACACAACAACCTGTTGATATTTATTGATACCCCAGGGCACAAGGGAATCTTGGCGTTGAAAACAGACAGTCTGGCCACAGGAGGATCTGCAAGACCATATAGAGGCCCCGAATCTATACTTGGGATCACAAAAACAAATATAGAATCCTTCAAAGAAAACAAAAGAAGAAGTGGATAAACTCTATCTGCGCTAGACATAGTAAACTTATGGATGAAACAACCCTCACCAAGACTGGCAAAATCATTGCTGCAATTGGATAGGGCCAAACTCAGAGGAGTGATAGGACT